CCTGACCTAATTTTAAATGAGAATGTAGACACACCCTGTGTGAGAATTTGGATGTACTTCTTGACACATCAGGAGGAATTGCAGACAATTAACATTCTCATAGCTTAGACTAGTGTCCTAACTATACAGCTTACCCATTACAAGTGAAAACAAAACATAAATTTTAAAATATATCCCCAAATATGCCAGCTAGCCCTACCTGAATGTACAACCAAACTCAGGTAAGAAGAGGTCTTCTGTGTGAATGGGAGGTGACTGAGGGTAGTAGAGGAGTAAGAGACTAGATTTGTTTTGTAGTGAAGATGTACCCTAAGTGGTTGCCTTGATAAGAGAAATTTATAATGAGGACAATGTGTGACTTTTTCTGTTTTGAAACGAGATATATTGGAAGGGAAATTTCCCACTAAGGAAGATGCTATTGAACATGAGTACAAAAGACAGAAAAAAAGGGAGCATGGATATGTGAACAGAGAAATTTCTGTACATGAACTGAAAGCAAACTCTGAATACCCCAATGTGCCCACATTTGGGTCTACACTGATAATTTGCACATCAAAAATCTTCAAGAAGTAACCCAGGAATCATTGTCTGGTAGCAAAGATATCTTACCACTTAAAAAATCAAAGGTGGTATCATATGGGTAGAAGACACCTATAACAAGGACACGCTGAAAATTTCAGCTTCTTCTGGGTGCCCAGAAGCAAATACACCTGATCCCCACTGATTACTGATGCCACAGCAAAGAAGAGTCAAAGAGACCAAAATTAAAAACTCACAGTGTTTGTGGCTGGAAGAAGCCTGGGGAGAGTGAAGGTGGAAAGGAGGTATTTGGAGTGGTATGCAGGGCTCAGAGAGTCCTAGATGACTAAATAATTCTCTTTAGTTGTGGACTGAACTTACGGCTAAAGCCATAAGGTGTAAAGAGTGACCAAAGCAGTTACAGGCTCATTTTTCAACCATAGTTACACAGAAAAGTTTAGAATGAATTTTGCAGGAAAGTGTGATTGAAGTTCTGGAGATCAATGGTGACTTAAAATGTGGTGTGTGTCCCCTTGATATGGGTCATGCTGACTTACTGAAATACTTCTTTGTTAGGGTAACAGATTTTGTAGAACGGTGAAACATAGAAAATCTCATCTTCTATTTGTGTAAATGTATTAAAATGCATTTTTGATAGAACATAACAAACTATTAGCTATTCTGGTAGAAGTAGAAATAACTGAGTAAAGAACTGGCTTCACTGCCTGAGAGTCAATTTTGCTATAAGGGGGACCGTCGGACCTGCCTGAAGTTACAAATGGAGTTTCCCGAGGATCCCCCTTCCAATTCCATGTCCAGTTTTTCTGGCCCACATACTTTTACTTCCTCTTACGTCTTTGTGCTTGTATTCAACATGGTCTGGAATGCTAAAAAACGGCCATCACCAGCTTTTGAATCTTCCACTTGTTCCATTTTTGTGATGGAGAATATCACTGAGGATATTTTGTTAAAATATGCTATGGTTGCTTGCTATCTGCGGTATGTTCACCAAAGAGATTGAGTGGAAGAGAGAGTGTAATGGCTACAGCAACAGTCAAGTTATTTAGGTGATGGGGGAATTGGCCTACTCCATTTAGACTGAACTTCAGTTACAGCTGATAGGAGTTTTGCTCAATAAAGGGCTATATTTTGCCCAATGTACCGTAAGGAACTAGAACTACTTACTCTAATGCTCAGTGAATAAGCGCTGAAAAAAATAAATTTTCTCTTGTTTCCTGTTTAACACAAAAAAATCAATTGACAGCAAAAGGAGCAGCTGGCTTCCAGACCTGAGGTTCCCAACTGCCAAAGTCCAATTAAACTCCTTGAAAGGACAAAAACACTGTAATAATGACATTTTTCCCTAAAACTGAGTTTTTATTTGTGCAACTTACCAGCATACTGATCTTTTCTCTGCCTTGTTCCAAACACCCCCAGAGCAGCAGTGAAGCAATTAGAGGAAGTTAAAAGAAAATAATTTTAGTAAAGATGAAAATGCTTTAAATATTCAGCAAACTTATGTGTATTCTTTTTATTATTACTATCATTAATAGCATGATATAGACATCCTTGTGGCACTTAGGCACATTATGCCAAGGAGCAGCTCTTCCCTGAATTGTTAACAATCTAAACTGTTAGATTGTTAAGATGGGGAAAGGTCTGCATTATATCCCTTTTTAAAGATAGAAAATTAAATCACAGGGAGATTAAGTGACTGGTCAAAGGTCACACAGAAGGCAGAGTTGCAGAGTAGGAAAACTGGGAACTCTCTTTTAAGTTCAGCTCCCTAACTGCAAGACTACCCTTCCTTTAATAAGGAATAAAGTAGACAAAATAAAGTAGACAAAAATCTCCTATTAGATGGCAGGAAACATCATTATATTACTAGTGCCTGGATACTGCAGCTCTCCCTTATATTTGAAACTCAAGAAAGAGAACACAAAGTACATTTGCTAAAAGTAACACAGTGACAGGGTTCCTGGTGGTCAGTGCTGGAATGATAATACAAAAATTAGTTTCACTGAGAACAATCTCAATTTCTCTCTCTCATCCAGAAATGGATATTGTCCTACGTTATTAAGGCAGAAATAAGACTCAGTCCAACAGTACTGACTTGGTTAAAACAAAATCACAATTACTCTTTAACAATTTTGTATTCATAGCAAATTTAGTTTGCAATCACTTTTGGAGAATCAGTCAAGTTGATGATCAATTTCATTGCAGCTTTTGAGACTCATGTTTTTTACATAAGTAGAGAGCAATTACATGTGATTTAAGGAACACAAGACAGCCCAGGGAAAGAAGCAAACAGGTCATTTTCCCCTACCTTCTCTTTCTTGAGGTTAGAGAGGCCTACACCTGATCTGATGTTACTCTATAAGCTAACAGAGAGTGATCACAAGCTCCATTTCTGGCTGAAGGGCCAGGAAGCTGTGTGTCTTGCCAAGCCCAAGGGAGTAACGGGAGTTGGAACGGATGCCTGGGCATTGCTTGCCCTAGACACCTCCGAGGATAGGGGCTGTCTGGAGAGCCCCACCAGGCTGCAACCCAGTCACCTGGAATCACTTCTGTCACCTCAAGGGCAGCATGGGGAAGTTCAGTTTAAAGCCCTATGCCGAGATGCAAAACCATGAGTGCTTCAGCACTGCAGCGAGGCTCTGCCTTGGCAACCTTCCCCCTGTGCATGGAAGAACAGTGCGCTTGGCTTCTAACCTTGGGCTGGCCCGGGCAGCTTGGGTCACAGGAATGGCATGCTTTATGGTGGGGGGGGGGCAGGAATAGCAAGGGATTTTTCTGAAAATATTAAACCATCTATTTGGAGAGTCATGGCTGCCTTTGAAATCTCTCCTTATAGATCTATACTTAGCACTGGGACAAGGAGCGTGCGGGGTGTGTGCATGTGTGTGTGTGTGTGTGTGTGTGTGTGCGTGTGTGTGTGTGCGTGCGTGCGTGTGTGCGAGCGGGGCCGTGGCCGGGCTGGGGTGGGCTGGGGGAGGGTTCAGTCACAGCCCCGTGCCTTTGTCCTCTAGCCGTGCCCGCTCCACCACAGCTCTCCTCAACCCCAACTCGCCACCGTCTGCTCCAGCCTGAGCTCATGAGCTTTCGGTGGGGGAGGGGGGTTATTTTTACTTTGT